TATGAGGTCCTCAACCTCTCTCAGTCATTAACCTCACAGTCACTCGGGCATATCAGTAAAAATCAGGGAACTCAGCCCAAAGAGTTTTTCATATTTTAAGTAGAGTGATGAAATCGGAGTTAAACAATAAACAGGTAAAACATGACTGGGGATATGCTTTCAAACCAAATAGAGTGAGGAAAGTAGTAAAAATACCCCCAAGGGTCTAAACAGGTCGGCACAAGGCCCCAAATATGGCGTACAACCCAAAATATAGTATCAATCTCTAAAATACGGGATATCATGAGATTTCAAATCAAATACGCGGCTTAATAGTCGCTACGGGACGGACCAAGTCACAAATCCCTACCGGTGCACGCTCACACGCTCGTCACCTAGCATGTGCGTCACCTCATTTATCAAAACTATACGAAATATTGGGGTTTCATACCCTCAGGTCCAGATTTACAATGGTTACTTACCTCAAATCGGATGAAATACTACTCCGCGACACCATTGCCTCTCGACTTGGCCTCAACTCGAATCGAATCTATCTAAAATTAGAATCATAACGTTAATATATGCTAAGGGAACGAAGCCCATGCGAAAATAATCAAATTATATCAAAAATTCCGAAGTTGGTCCAACCCGACCCCCGGGCCCACATCTCGAAGTTCGATAAAAGTCACATAAATAGAATCTTTATCCTCTCACGAGTCCATACATACCAAGAACATCAAAATCTGACCACAAACGACCCCTCAAACCCTCAAATCAAAGTCTCCAATTTCAAGCCCTAACTCCCGAAATTTTAGGCTTTAGATACCACAAATTTCATGTTTAATTAGGTAAAAATCACAATAACATTGAGTATTAACCTTATATCTTACCTCCATGTGTTTCCCTTTGATTCCCTCTTCAATTCTTCTCAAAAAGCTCCAAAATCGCGAACAATGGCTATTTAAACATTCTGCCCAAGTGACCCTTTTCTTCTTCGCGAACGCGGTCAAAGCCTCGTGTTCGCGAAGCACAAAAATCCGTTGACCACTTATTCCTTCTTCACGAACGCGACGTCCTAAACGTGAATGCGAAGATTCAGCTTCTCAGACTATCACGAACGCGAAGCACAATGACCAGGACCCCAGCTGCTCCCATTTACTCTACACGAACGCGGGAACCTCATCGCATTCGCGATGCACACAAAACCTCACCCTTCGTGAACGCGGGGCCAACATCGCGAACGAGAAGGCCAAATTTCCAGCCTCACTACTCATCCCTTCACGAAAGCGAGATCCCTCTCGCGAACGCGAATATCAAAAATCTGCAACAGAAGCAGCAGAAAATCTGCAACTTTCCAAATAAGGATTTGATCCGTTTAACCACCAGAAACTCTCCTGAGGCCCTCGGGACCTCAACAGAACATGCCAACATATCCCATAACATCATTCAAACTTGTTCCAATCTTTGGAACACTCAAAATACCAAATCATCATCGGATTCAAGCGTAAGAAATTCCAAAACTTTCAAATTCCGCTTTCGATCAAAAAGTCTATCAAACCTCGTCCGAATAATATGAAATTTTGCAAACACGTCACAAATGACATGACGGACTTACTCTAACTTCCGAAATTCCATTCCGAACCCTATATCAAAATCTCCCCTATCAACCGGAAAACGCCAAAATTCTAATTTCGTCAATTCGAGCCTAAATCTACTCCGGACCTCCAAAACCCATTCCGATCACGGTCCTAAGTCCCAAATCACCTCCCGAAGATATCTGAACCATTAGAATTCACATCGGAGCCCTTTTCCCATAAGTCAACATCCGGTTGGCTTTTCCAACCTAAGCTTACTCAAAAGAGACTCAGTGTCTCATTCCTTTCCAAAACCTCTCCGAACCCGAACCAACCAACCCGATATCACATAATACAGCTGAACAAAACATTAAGAAGCAGAAATAGGAAAAATGGAACGGTAACTCATGAAACGACCGGCCGAATCGTTACACCTTTGTGTTGTTGTTAAAGGCTACTTCAAGTTCCTTGCGCACAAATAAGAAGTTAGGTTTTGCCCCGCTTATCTTTCCATCTATAATGTAATGGCTTTCACTTTGATCAAAAAAATTCTTCCACGACTCAACATCTTTGTTGAAGAGTAGTTTGTATTTGTGTTCCCTTTGTCAAGACAGAAAAGCAATAGTCACCAGTGGAGTTAATGTGGCAACCAATGAATATAATACCAGATTAAATTAATGTTACCTCTTCATCAACGAATATTAGCAGCCAGCGAACACCCTCACCATTTGAATTTTTGTACTCCTTTATTAAGCCTCTTCGAATTAGGATAACTTTAATCACCCATTCTGTTGCAAACTTTTGCAACTTGCTAATAGGCACGCATTGGTTTTCTAGTTCTTCTTTGCTTGCCATTGTGATTACGCTGTAGTTGCTAGGAAGTAGATGCAAATACTATATATAGTTGTAAAGTAAAAATAATTTATTCGTATCTAATTTCTTCAATTTAAAATGGTTACAAAATACTATTAATTGTTAATGTTTGAGTGCAATAATGAGCAACTTCAGCTGGCAATATGTACCACTATCTTAACAATCTAAAAAGAAATAGTAATTACAAAAGTGTAAAATTTTTACCAATTCGGTGATGCAGTAATACAGGTATCCTGTAAAAAGGGACGGGGAAATCTGCAAGTAGTATAGTTAGTGTAAATCATATTAGAGTTGCATCGTTACAAGCAACAGAAAATTTCAAAAATTAAAAGTATAAGTTAAAAATGAAGAAGAGTCCTATTTGATATTGTTTGAATCTGTTAATTATGTGGTATATCTTTTATGCAGAATCAACATTAAATGATTTAGAAGCGTGATACAAATTAGCAAAAATAGAAGCAAACTTTTTAATAGCAAATATCATGCAGTAACTACAGGTCTCACATAGTCAAAACAACTGAATAAAGTAATACTCTTTCTCCAACAAAAACGAACTAAAAAAATAAATTCTTATGCAAAATATGGTTAAAGTATGGCATCTACAGAATTATTAAATAATACCTTGTTGTAGATCATACAAGAAAAACACAGCACATCTTCGACACACAAGTACTAAACATGGTTATTAAACAGGAACTTTGTTCAACAGTAGTTATTATGCACATAACATCTTTCTAAAGAGAGCTTTAGATGTAAACTAAAATAAAAACTTATGAAATTTATAAAAGATCTTGCTAAACATTGGAGAGTGTAGATTTATAAGAATAAGCATAAAACAGAGTATTCAACTTCAAGAATCGAGATCAAGAATACTCATATGAAGTAACAAAAGGAAGAAAAATTTACCAACTGAAACTGCAACTTTCCTCTATTATTTGTGCTCATGGTGATGGTTATGCATATTACTGGTTTAGATTCCATTTATATAAGCTCCTCAGTAGTCTAATGATATTCTGCAACAGATAAAATAATTAATTAGCAATTAAATCAGGTAACAGCTATCACATGTTCTCTAGCCATGATCTAAATTAAATTACATAACAGTTATCACACGTTCTCTAGCCATAAGATCCAAATTAAATAGCTAAATTCATTGTGCATTTATGAAACTCCATAATGATAGACCCATTTCAGTACTAACTACTAAATAAATCAAGGATTAAAAATTATAAAATATCTTTTAAACATGAGACTATTAAACCATCTAATATATATTAATAAATAAGCGAAAATATAGAATGGAAAAATATTGAATACTTGGTAATGGGAATGGCTGTATAAACGTCTTTGCCACAAGATAGGCCGCCTTTTTTGCAGCGAAGAATAGTATCAACGGCAATACCGCAACCCTTCAGTTGTTTGATGTATATGAGAATTAAAACCCAATTTCAATAAGGCCAAAATGGCTTCTATACTCATATTTATGAGAGTATTTCAAATCTACATATCGATGTTGAGCGTGATATGAACACAATTGTACAATTTAGATCACCTCTTCGGTGGCCTTGCTGTGACCTAGGCCCTAGATGAATAAGTAGTAGTTTCAACAACTCACCTTTTAATTTTGGGTGGAGAGATGATGTGATTGCCCCAGTTAAAAGAATGACCACAAAATATACTTTGACCCCCATAGTTTTAAAGTTGATACTTTATACCAAAGAACTAAACATAGACTCAAATAATGTAAAGGGCAGCTATTATTAATATTCTTTTGTGAATAATTAAGTTGTAATTAGCTGGAATAAATCACATAAAGAGACATCAATTAATGTACAAAATATCATTTAATGGGAGGTAATTTTAATATTAGTTAGAGGGTAATTTGGTCATTCAGCTTTTAAAGGGTATTTTAGTAAACTAACTTCGCCTATAATTGTTCATGATTACAATATAGTATGATTAGACCAATGGCAAGACAAATTAAAATATTTATGTGACTCCTCTAACATCCTAGCCTCAAAAATTGACTCCACTACATTCCTCTATATGACTCACTTCTTGTGCCAACTAAAGATATGAGTTCTTTACCAATCCGTCGTAAAACATGTGCTCTCATCAACAAAGCAAAGAGATTAATCAGTCCGTACTCACATATGAATTCTAGTATAATTTTAGGACTCACATATTGAAAGAATTCTCTCACTCTCGCAGAGAAACTCATATGTCACCCAAGTTCGTACCATAGACTTGTCCGTAGTGTAGGACTCAACTAATTTAAGTTTGTAAAATCTAGGATCAAGTAGGACTTTAGAGATTGTAATGTAGGCTAAGGGACGGGTATGATACAAGAGGGTAGAAGAAACTCTCTGGTAGGCCAAAGGCCGAAGCATTAACAACTCATGGGATACTCGGACTTCTACCAAACTTGGTTCTTTGTACGGGCACCCCACACTTTGTTCTAACCATCTCGCTTGATTTTGCTTCCTTCCAATGGCTTTGCTTCATGTGCTCCTAGAAAATATTAAACGACATTACCAAAATGATACAATACAAAATTAAATTAAAAAACTACAAATAAAAGAAAGCAATAAAGATGGATTGCCGCCCCCCCCCCCCCCNCTCCAGGGATGGTGGAACAAATCTAACTGGCCCAAGGAAATACTGTAGTATTCTGCACTTCTTGGACTTGACATGAGATGTGTTTCTGGAACGAAAAATTTCAGAGTATAGGGACCTTGTTCCTCATTCCTTGATTCCTCAATTGGCTCGGATAAGTCTATTTTCATATTATCATCCAAACACAATGTGAAAAAATTCTTAGAGTGATGACCAATGTGCTGAAATATATAAACTTCAAGACTTTCAACATCCTCAACACTAATGACACTTGAATCAACAAAATTTGTATTCTCACTGTACTTGGCTGACTCTGGTATCACTTCTTCAATATCGGCATCCTCAAATTCTAGTTGGCTAGGTTGTTGGTATTCTACTCTAACCTCCTCCGTCAGAGTGTCAACTGCTGACTCTAATTTATATTGCTTTCAGCTACTATCCAGCATATTGACTTGTTAGAACATTCAAAGCTTCTACTATTTTACTTACTCGAGTCTTCAAGTTGTGAATAGTTTCCTCATGCCTTTGAATCCATAATTGTGTGTCATTATTTTATTCCACAAGGCACCTTAGCATATCCTTAATCTCCTTTAGGTCAGCATCTCCAGGTTCTTTGTTCCTATTAACTTCACAAGTAAAAGTAGAACCTTTATAATAACGGGTGGGGGAGGATAAGAAATATAAGTGCAACCATGAAAGTGACCATTTTGACCACCACACATATCACATACATTACACACATAAGATTGAGTTGGTGCACATAACTCACTCTCCAGAATATTTTGATAATTCTGCAACGAGTGGTTTCCTTCACAATATAAATAAGGATCAAAAGAAGAATTACCAACACCTAAACTCCTATAATTCCAAGTTTTCATGTTTCTTAAATCAAAAATAAAAAGGTCAGACTTGACACTAAGCGATATTTACAGCCACAACTACATAGTTAATTTCCTGGCAACGGCGCCAAAATTTAATCATGCCCAACTCTAGTCCTAAAAATGATAAGCGGTCGCTGCAAATATAATCCGGTCTAAGAGTCCGGAGTGAAATCCCACTGAGAACTAAGGTTTTGCTATAACTGTTCAATATCACCAATAAGGCAAGCTCGGACAATTTCTAAGTTATAAATATTAATATTCTTATATCGAACTAATTAACTAACAAATTAAAATAGTAAGTTAACAACTAAAGATATAAAGGGTTGGAGACTAAATTAAGGAGGTCTAGAGTTATGGTTTTCCCAATTGTCGAAATCTTTCTCGCTAAGTCTCCAACAATTTTGTCAATGTATTCTCTACTAATCATGAGCACTCGACTTATCGTAATTCTCTCTTGAGCAACTACAATAATGTACTAGTCATATTCTCTCAAATTACGCTAGCTCGAACTTTTTCACCGCTCACTATGATCATGTCAAAGCATCATTATCTCTAACCCCGCTTTTAAACCCGCCTCATTGATCTCTCATATACCATAGGAGTGACGTTATTCAACAACCACATAAATATGTATCCTTTCTCAAGAAACACATAATAAATAGATACAGTCAATCGATGGTCATTCAATCAACGGAAATAAGCACATAGTTGAACAAGTAGATAAATCCAAAGGTCAAATTATATTAAAATATAACAAAAATTCATCCTCCAAGAGGTTCCATCAAAACTCTAGATAATAAATTAGCTATTCATAAAAGTATGTCAAAACACAATACTCAAATTCATAACCAACAATAAAAATAGGAAGAAGAAAGGAAAAACTAGTGGTTGAATCTTCCTCCTTGCTCCTAGCGTATTCTTGCCTCCTTGGGTATTGTCTAACCCTAAAGTAGTGTCTCTTGATTCAAAAGTACATTTTATGATGTATTTGTATCCATTAGGGTTGATGAGGGGCGTCTGTGATCTCTCCTAATTCGAAAAGGACACGCTGAGTCGCGTGCTAGAGTTGGTGCAGCGCGCGACTTCTAGCACTCTCCCAGCTATTTTTTCTTCTTCTTTGTTCTTTCACATGCCATGTCCAGTGCCAACCTCCATACTTGGCTATTTTTTGTTCATCTCCTATGCTATTTCGCACCTACCTTCATGAAATGCACTAATTGTGGCACGCTCCCAAGTATTGCATCTCTACTGCTTTTGCATCAAATCATCCACTTATTGCCAACGTCCATCCAAATTCATTCTTACACACAATAAATATGTAATGAGCATATTATATGTTTATAAACATATAATCTGTCACGACCCCAAATACTCGATCGTGATGACATCTATCACATTACTAGGCAAGCCAACCAAAATATCGATCATAACCCTTTTTCTTTTAATAAACCATTTTCTAACACGGGTTTAAATACCAAATTTTCATAATAAGTGTTTAAAACAACTAAAATGTGCGGAAGCCAATAAAACATAAAACAACACAGCCCAAACATCTGGTGTCACGAGTCTAGAGCCTCTAAATACATAGCCAACTGTCTAATACATCATAAGCCTAAAAATGCGGAAAGGAACAAGATAGGAAGGAGAATAGTAGGGCTGCGGACCCCATGCAACTACCTTGCAATCTCCGGCAACCTCTGAAAATGCTGAGGACTCTCACTCCGCCACTCGGGTACCTGGATCTGCACACAAGGTGCAGGGAGTAACGTGAGTATGCCAACTCAGTAAGTAACTAAAGTAAATAAGGTCTGAAAGCAGTGACGAGAAGTTAATATCATATAAAGGAATAAACAACAGTATAACAGATCAAACTCCATAGTTTAGAACCAGTTTTGTCATAAAATCTTCAGTTTCAGTTTAAATACTTGAAATCATATACTTAGAAATTTTTCAACAGAGTCTTATTTTAAAAGAAGAGTGAAGTCAGTAAAAATATCATGACTGGGCCCCTCGGGCAAGGTATCACTCTGAATATGGCATCTCGGGCAGCCTCTCAGTCATTCGTGAGTCAACTCTCGTCACTCAGTACTCACTCTCAGCACTCAGGCTCATTAGTAACTCATAATAATAATAATCATAGTAACCGCTGCGGCGTGCAGCCCGATCCATAGTCTATAGTCGACTACGCTCACTGGGGGTGTACAGACTCCGAAGGCACTCCTACAGCCCAAGCGTCATATCGTTGTGGCACGCAGCCCGATCCAATATATATATATATATATATATATATATATATATATATCGATGCAGCATGCAGCCCGATCCATAATTCATACATATATAAATATCCTCACCATTAGGTTCTCAACCTCTCTCAATCATTAACCTCACAGCCTCTCGGGCACAACAGTAGAAATTAGGGAACTCAATCCAAACAGTCCTCACATTTAAAAGTAAAGTGATAAAACCAGTTTTAAACAATAAACAGGTAAAACATGACTGATGATATGCTTTCAACAAGTAGAGTGAGGAAAAACAGTAAAAATGCCCCTATGGGTCTCAACAGGTTGGCACAAGGTTCCAAACATGGCATACAACCCATAATATAATATAAATAACTAAAATATGAAATATCATAAGGTTCCAAATCAAATATGCGGCTTAATAGTCGCTACGGGATGTACCAAGTCACAAATCCCTATCGGTGCACGCCCACACGCTCGTCACCTAGCATGTGTGTCACCGCATTTATCAAAACAAGTCAAATACCGGGGTTTGTACCCTCAGTTCCAGATTTACAATGGTTACTTAACTCAAATCGGTGAAAATACTACTCTGCAACACCTTTGCCCCTCGAATCGGCCTCCACTCGTGTCGAATCTATCAAAAATCAGAATCACGACGTCAAAATATGATAAAGGAACGAAGCCCAAGCAAAAATAATTAATATACGACACAAATCCCGAATTTACCAAAACCCGACCCTCGGGCCCACATCTCAGAATTCGATAAAATTCACATCAATAGATTTCTTATCTCCCCATGAGTTCATATGTATCAAAAGTACCAAAATCCGACCACAATAGGTCCCTCAAATTCTCAAGTCTAGGTCTAC